TGTTTTTATTTTTGCAATTTTTTTGGTTCTTTGAAAGTTTTTGCAAATAATTAAGAATGATTAATAAATATTAAAATAGGATTAAATGGCTCAATTTACATTATTATCAAATCTACTTACAAATTCCAAGAAAATTTCCACTATCCACTTTTATTGTGAGATTGTATCTTAAAAATAATACCCATTCAAATAAATAGAAAAATAAGAGCCGGGGAGATAGCTCAGTAGAATAAGTGCTTGCCTGGCAAGTGCAGGGTCCTGAGTTCAATCCCCGGAACAAAAAAAAAAGCTCGTTCTTTCTGTAAACAAGGCTGGGGGGAGGAACAAGGCAGGTTGTGCATCAAAATCTTATAGTCATAGGAATTTACGTTTATAGGGCCGGGGAGATGGCTCATTAAAATAAACACTTCCCAATTAGAATAGGCAAGCACAGTGCTTGGGTTCAATCCCTAGTTCTACCAAAAATTAAAAATTAAAAAATTTTTAAAATTTAATGAAAGAGACTAAAAGATAACTGAATTTTTTTTTAACCTCCAAGGTTCAGGTTTCAGGTGATGTGATCACAGAAGGCAGAATTCGTGTGGTTTTCAGCATTCCATGTGAACCCAATCTTGATGCTTTAATACAGAACCAGCATGTGAGTACAGTAGTTCATATTATTTCATTTAAAAACAATAAACTTTTAAAATATTAGAAGGATATTTTGCTACTCCTTTAAATTTATTTCAAGAAGAAGCATAGGCCCTCACATAATGGCTCACGCCTCCTGTAATCTCAGTTGAGGCAGGAAGATTGCAAGTTCAAAGCCAGCCTGGGCAACTTAGTGATATTCTATCTCAAAATAAAAAGGGCTGAAATATAGCTCAGTGGTGAAACAATTCTGGGTTTGGTCCTCAGTGCTGGGGATTGAACTCAGGCCCTTGTGCTTGCCAGGGAAGCGCTTATTCCACTGAGCCATCTCCCCGGCTTCATTTTTGTTTTTGTTTTTAATTCATTAAAAATTTTTAAATGGGGCTGGGGAGATGGCTTAGCAGTCTAAATACCTGCCTTAGAAGCACAAGACCTGAGTTCAACCCCCAGTACCACAGGCCATGCTGGCCCTGAAGCCAGGTGTGGTGCATGCCTGTAATGCCAGTGCTAGGGAGACCGAGACAGGAGGATCACTATGAGTCTGAACTGTGTAGCAAAACCCTGTGCCAAATAAATAAATACATAAATAAATAAATTTTTAAAAATTTAAAATGAACACATTATTCATGAGGTTTACTTTGAATTATTTTGGTCAAATTTATAAAAGGCACATTGATTAAAATACCTTCTGAGAATAGATTTCAATTGTTTATAATTCAAAGCCTGCATTTTTGGTTAAAAGTGGCAAATGGCTTTTCTGCTAAGGTGGTTTATCCTGCTCTAATGGACAGTCTCAGTCCTAGAGAATCCTTCCAAACTGCATGTAAGCTGACAAGGTCCTCTTTCAGGACTTTTTCTCTAAAGATGTTCATTGGCCTCCCTTCCTCTGTTAAAATGGGGTCGTTACCTGTCATTTGTTCTCTCTGCTGACTGCATACTTGACTGAAGATGGATAGGTCACAGCCAGCCAGATATTACTACTTTTGCCTTTTTTTCCCCTAGTGCTAAAACCTAAAGTTCATAAAATCTATATGTTTATGTCTAAAGTTATTCTTTAGATATAAAAGAAATTTAAGACATTAAGCTTTAGCACACATCTGCAGAAACATTATGTATGGAAGACAGAGATGTACATAAAATCTTACTATAATGTCTCTATTGGAAAAAGAAGTTAGACAGCATAGTCAAGAAATCATGGGCGGGGAAGATGGCTCAGTGGAATAAGCGCTTTCTCGGCGAATACTTGCGCCTGAGTTCAATCCGCGGTTCCGCAAAAAAAAAAAAAATTAGGGGCTGGGGAGCTGTTGTGAAACCGCTGGTACGCTTTTTTGGGGCTGGTGAGATGGCTCAGTGGTCTAAAGCACCTACTTAGAACAAGCTAAGCTAAGCAAAGCACAGGGACCGCGGTTCAATCCCCCAGCACCACATGCCAGCCAGCACCGCCCCCTCGTGGGCTGAGCTGGCCACACACACACAATAAATAAATAAACAAATTAAAAAAAAACCTTGTCTTTTAAAAAAAAAAAGAAAGAAAGAAAGAAATCATCAAGTGCCAGGTGTGGTGGCACATGCCTGTAATCCCAGCACTCAGGGGGCTGAGGCAGGAAAATCACCCCCCTGTGCTACATAAGCAAGTTCAAGAAGCCTGGACTATAGAACAAGACTGACCCTATATCAAAAAAACTAATTAATTAATTTTAAAAAAACAGACAGGGCTGGCCAAATAGCTTAGCGGATTAAAGCGCCTGCAAGCAGGTGCAGGGGCTGGGGTTCAAACCCCGGGCCTGCTGTGCCAGCCCCGCCCCCAGGGCACGCTGAGACGGCAATTGAAACTGGGCATTGTGGTGTGTGCCTATAATCCCAGCTCTTAGGAGGCTCTAAACAGGTGGATCACTACGAGTAGGATCTAGTAGTGAGACCCTTCCCTAAAAAAAAAAAAAGACACAAACCTATTAGATAAAGAAGCTGGATTCTTGTCTTGGGAGTCAGTAGTAGTTGGAAAATCTAGGTGATTGAAGTATCTTTAACTTTTAATTAACTTACTTGTTCTCTACTCTAATATTCCCAGCTATATAAATTATATTTTGTAGATTATTTATGATTATTTAATTTCTAATTGTAGCATAGCTAAACATAGTACTATTGGTATCAAGAGCATCAGTTATTGCTGTATATAGGACTCATCTGTATATGGGAACACAATGGCATCATTGGCCCTTGGGCACTAAGTACACGTAGCCCATGCCATTGTAACTGAATGTGTATTTAGACATTTCCAAATGATTATTAGAAAAGTAGCGGGGCTGATCACACACACCCCTGTAATCCCAGTAGTAAGGGCCTAAGGCAGGAGTGCTATGAGTTCAAGGTCAGCCTGAAGTGCATAGTGAAATTGTATGTCAAAAAGAAAAAAAAGTAGCACTAGGTTGGTAGTGAAGCCCTTGCCTGACATGCTCAAGGCCCTATGTTCAATCCCCAATTCCAAAAAAGTAAAAGGAAGAGAAGAGAGGGGGAGGCGGGGAAAGAAGGAAGAAGAAAATAGGGAGAATAAGGAAGAAAGGAAGGAAGGAAATTACTACTTGTAATTCAGAAATACTACCTTAATTCTTAATTCTTTTGAATTATTCTGGTAAACATACTTGATTTGCATTGTATTATTGCTGAATAGAGCCAGGCATGGTGGCGCATGCTTGAATTCCAGCACTTGGGGGGCTGAGGCAGGAGGATCATTGTGAGTTCGAGACCAGCATGGGCTCCATCATGAGCTCAAGGCCAGGGTGAACTGCATAGCGAGATCCTGGGTCAAAAGCACAAAATAAAATAAAAAATACAGTATCGGGGCTGGTGAGAT